TTTAACAGCATGTGAAGTTACGTTTTTAAAAGAATGACAGAATATGCTTCCGATTCTCTGCACTTTAAAATGTTATCCAAAATTAAATATTTATTTTAATACATTGATTAATTTAAGTAAACTTTAAGTTATTTGCCATTTGAAATGGAAGCTGAATCTGTGAGCCAGTTCTGGTCTCCCCAGCTGACGGTTGGTGAACATGGGGTGTCCCATCCTGTCATTAACCTATAGCTGGCAGAGCTATTGCCCACCTCTTTCCCACATGCACCAACAGCCAGGTGGCCAACAGACTGTCAGGATGAGGAGGCATGACTATGATTTTCACTGGCAAATGTGGGGGGAAGCAGTGGCAGACAACCTTGGTGAATCTGCACTCTTGGAGAATCACTGATTCAGGGCATCAACTCTGTAATAACAAAAGTTGAAATTTTATGCAAATCAACAATACTAGCAGAACTCTTTTTATCCTACTTAATTCTATACCTTTTGCTATTTTATAGAATTCTGGTTTTGTTTGTTAGGAAAAAAGGGAGCAAGAAAATAAGCTCACCTTTTGAAACTGATGAAATGTTAATGCCACCTCTGGTTTTGGCAGGCACTCCCCAATATCCATAAAAGGAAGTAACTTGCTATTTCTTTTAAAATAGACATGGGAAATCTTCTAGCTCTCTAAAAGTTGCCAAACCAGAATTCACAATATCCCTCATCATCCTTCAGCAACATCTGGAAGGCCACAGGTTCTCCACCCTTTTTAAATTAAAACATGGGTCTAGGAGAGCTGAGTCCTGCGGCCACCACATTCTGTACTTTTTCTGTATAGCTTTAAAAATCAGAAGTCTTTACATATCCTTAGTTTAGTTATCTTTACAGTACCTGTCTTAAGGTAGCCCTACCAACCCATCTTTTCTTGAAGGTGTGGGGAATGAAGACATTGTATTTTGTGCCTGAAAGTAGATATTCAAATGTAATTCCATATTTGTCTGAAGTTTCTAGCTGGAAAGGCTTGTGGGGGTGGGGGACAGGGATAGTAAGAAATGCTCACATCTGTAATATCCAATCCAAGGTACCTGCTGTCTTAGTGGATAAATTGTTTCTGCCTCAGCAGTGATAGATAAATGTCTTTTTATGTTCTCTGAAGCATGGCCCATAAAAATGAGTGTGTGTGTGTGTTAGAAAGATGAAGAAACAGTAGGTGGTAAGAAACTGTTACTGTGAAAGCTCTAGGTCAGTGTTTCTCAACCTTGGCAACTTTAAGATGTGTGGACTTCAACCTTACTGGCTGGGAAATTCTGGGAGTAGAAGTCCACACATCTTAAAGTTGCCAGGGTTGAGAAACACAGCTCTAGGGGAAGAAGTTGTCTTGTAATAGTATTATAATGCTGCTATGATTGAAGTAGGTGTGAGAACATAACTAAGTTGCATGGTCTGGCCAGAGACATGTCCTTTTTTCAGCAACATATCTTGGAAGCAAGATAAAAAGGTAATACCAATTCTCTTTGGGTTTTTTAAAAACCAGATATACTTTATAATTTTATTAAGGTTATAAAACATAAACTCATAGTACTCACATAGTAACTGATTGATCTCATAAAGGCACAAAAGTGGCTATGCGTATTAGACAAATTAAAACATTAAGGTGTTAATTAAATAACTCTTAGATACAAACCAATAAACATACTCAAGCTAGTTTACACATATCCTTTGCCTAAAGCAGTGTTTAGATTGACAATTAGTGTTTAAGCTGAATAGAGGTGGTTGTGCTAGATGAGAAAAGGTTACAATTTACCAATATACAGTGCATTCAGAAAGACCCCCTTCCCTTTTTTCAATTTTGTTACGTTGCAGCCTGATACTACAGTTGTTCAAATTCATTTTTTCCTCATTAATCTACACTCAGTACCCCATAATGAGAAAGTGAAAACAGAATTTTAGAAATGTCTGTAAATTTATTAAAAAGGAAAAACTTATATCACATTGGCACAAGTATTCAGACCCGTTGCAACAACACTTGAAATT